CCTAAATTGGAGATCTAATGGACTTAATGTGAACCAGAACTGAACATATCGCCCAAAAATAGCTAATACAGTCCTTGGTTTTATAAACAGAGACATAGAATCAAAAATCACGTGAAGTGTTAGAACCGCTTTATAAATCCTTAGTAAGGCCACACCTGCAATCCTGCATCCAGTTTTGGTCACCATGATACAAATAAGATGTTGAGACTCTAGAAAGGGTGCAGAGAAGAGCAACAAATATTAGTGGGTTGGAGGCTAAAACATATGAAGAACGGTTGCAGGATCTGGGTATGTCTAGTTTAATGAAAAGGAGGAGCAGGGGTGACATGTTAGCAGTCTTCCAACATCTCAGGGGCTGCCACAAAGAAGAGGGAGTCAAGTTATTCTCCAAAGCACCTGAAGGCAGGACAAGAAGCAATGGAGGGAAACTAATCAAGGAGAGAAGCAACCTGGAACTAAGGATAATTTTTTTTGACAGTGGGAATATATCAATCAGTGGAAGGACTTGCCTTCAGAAGTTTTGGGTGCTCCATCACTGGAGTCTATGGAGATTCTCCGTCATCCACGTCATGGCTGTCCCAAAGGTGCTTCTTCAAGAGGCACCTGGACTTTCTTTTGTTTTTCTTTGAAGACGTTTCGCTTCTCATCCAAGAAGAGCTGAAGAAGAGCTGAGGAAACACCTTCAAAGAAAAACAATGAAGTCCAGTTACCTCTTGAAGAAGCTGGAGGTTTTTAAGAAGAGACTGGGCAGCCATGTGTCCAAAATCATTTAGGGTCTCCTGTTTGAGCAGGGGGTTGGACTAGAAGACCTCCAAGGTCCCTTCCAAACACTGTTATTCTACATTCTTTCTATATGCTAACCTTGATTAATTGTATAAACGTGTTTCTACTGCTGAGCAGGATGTAGAAGCCCAGTTCATTTGATTGATATATCAGCTGATATAAAGTTGGAGAGCTAGTTTATCCATCAGCCAAGTTATAAGCAGGGGGAGTGAATGCAGCTAAAGAGTTAGTTATATGGATTATTCTGCTTCAAGAGATAGGATGCTCTCTTGTATAAATTTGTACCCCACCGTCTGTTCCCCGTTTTTTCCGCTAGAGGTCACATTTCTCCCTCCTTTGCTGATGGGACTTTACCTAAATGCACCCCTCCTGGCAGCGAGAGGAATTGGGGTGCAGAATTCAGAGCAGCTCAATTAACCCATTCATTAATGGTCATTAGATGTCCTGATAAGATTCTTGGGTGCTTATAATGTGCGGTTCCTCCCACACCAATCACTTTTTTAAAAAAATGTCTTTGCTTTAGTTGTCAGTTTGTGAAGTTGTCAGTTCTGGTTTTTTTACCTTCCTTTTATTGAGAGCCTGTTCTTTTGCTCCTACTGCAAACTGCCTTGATAATTTCATTTCTGTGGAAATATACAGGAAAAGAACAAGGATCTGGGGAAGAAAGGAGAGGAAAAGGCCTCAGAGTGTCAAATAAGGTAGTCTTCGATTTACAACTTTTTTTTTAGTGACCGTTGGAAGTCACGACGGCACTGAAAAAAGTGACTTACGATCGTTTTCTCACACTTACAACCGTTGCAGCATCCCCAGGTCACGTGATTAAAATTGAGACACTTGGCAACTGACTTATATTTATGACAGTTGCAGTGTCCCAGGGTTACGTGATCTCCTTTTGCGACCTTCTCACAAGCAAAGCCAATTGGGAAGTCAGATTCACTTAACAACCGTGTTCCTAACTTACAAACTGCAGTGGTTCACTTAACAACTGTGGCCAGAAAGGTGGTAACATTGGGACAAAATTCACTTAACAGCGGTCTTGCTTAATAACAGAAATCTTGGGCTCAATTGTCATAAGTCGAGGACTTCTTGTTCTGGAGGGGCCGTTCTGGGAGTTTAGATATCGTTTCTGTCTCTGTATTTTATTTTCCCAGTTGGGGACATGCCTCTGAGGTTTGCACCCAATGCCATAATCTTACAGCCCTTTGCAAAATAGCTTTTATTGCCTTTATTTGTTCATTTTCAGAAGTGATTGAAAAATTTCAAAACAGATTGCATGAACAGTTTTAAAGTAATTACATCACAAATTAAAATATTGGTATTCCTGAAATTTATGAGCACCATTGGGCCAGAACTTCTGTTGCCAAGCAAGGCAGTTGTTAAGTAAATAGTATCCAGTTTTCCAACCTTTTTTTGCCACGGTTGTTCAATGAATCAGTGTGGTTATTAAGTAAATCATGTGGTCATTAAGCGAATCTGGCTCCTCCTATTGACTTTTCTTGCCACCCACTTTGGAGGCTGGTTTTCATAGATGGATTGATTTGATTTTTATCCCACCTTTATTATCATTTGGTTTCTTTTTTCACTCCAAACTGATTTTTATTTTATTTATTATTTTATTTATTTTTAAATTTTTATTTTATTATTCCATTCCATTCCATTCCATTCCATTCCATTCTATTCCATTCTATTCTATTCTATTCATTTCTGCTCTATTCTATTCTATATTTCTATCCTATTCTATATTTCTATTCTGTTCTGTTCCACTCTGTTATTTTTCTATTCTATTCTATATTTCTATTCTATTATTTTTCTATTCTATTGTTTTTCTATTCTATTCTATTCTATTCTATTCTATTCTATTCTATTCTATTCTATTCTATTCTATTCTATTCTATTCTATTCCATTCCATTCCTTTCCTTTCCTTTCCTTTCCTTTCCTTTCCATTCCATATTTCATTTCTATTCTATATTTCTATTCTATTATTTTTCTATTCTCATCTATATTTCTGTTCTATTCTATTCTATTCTATTCTATTCTATTCTATTCTATTCTTTTGATTTCGTATTTCTTCAGTGCAACCCCCCCCTTTTCCTCAGAGAGGGGCTCTGGGCAGCGTACAGTAGAATCAATGAAATTAAACATCTTATTGTTAGAATAATTGTACCAAATCACCTGCTTTCCTCAGAATTAATCTTAGATTAAAAAGTTTTGGAATCATAAAAATAACCCTGTAAAATGTTCTCTGCAGGCTGTCAAAAATCCTGGTGAGCTCTCCCCCACTTCCCAAACCTTTTTAAGAAGAGATGGACAGCCATTTATCCAGAATTTTATAGACAGAGTTCTCAGCTTGAGCAGAGGGTTGGACTAGAAGACCTCCAAGGTCCCTTCCAACTCTGTTATTTCTCTCATTACTGATATTTCGTTTAATTCCACAAAGAATTTAATCTTTGCAAAAGATTAAATTGCCACCAAAACCTTTGGGAAGACCATTTCAGAATCGGGGTAGTCCACTTTCTTAAATTGTTGAGATATTTTTCCACGGTTGCTTATTCCCTAGGAAAACACACCAGTTTTTGTATTTGTTATTTTTATAGTGTCCAATGCCTGTTTGTTAGGAGGGGTTTCCAGGATTGCTTTGGTTCTAACGCCGGAGGTATTTTCTGTCTGTAATACCAACGTTAATGGAAAAACAAAACAAAAAGACTAAATTCTCTTCCGATTGTTCTATTTGGACCCGTCAATCTCCCGCCCCCTCCCCGATTGAGAACCTGCAACGGTGCGCTTTTCTTCCGCGCCCCCCGAATCCCCCTCATTCTCTCGCCTCCTTTGCAGACCCCCCCTCTTCCTAATTTAAGGAGCCCTAACCCTAATTTGGGAGGAATAACCCTGGGAAGACCCTCGCCCAGGTCCCAGCGCGACCCACCGCTTCTCCCGCCGGGACCCCCGAAACGAGGGGAGCGTTTCGGGGGGGGGGGCTGCTTCAAAAGCAGCGAGGCGCGCACTTTTCCTACCGCAGGAAAAGTTTGATTTCTGCTAACTTTGGAAATGGGGGAAAACCCTAGCAAATCCTAACCGGGGGAGAGGGAGGGAGGGCGCCAGGGTCTTTTTGCGGAGTTGAGCGAGACAGGAGGTTTGAGTCTGGGGGCGGCTTTAGCCGGAGGGGTCACCGCCAAGGTGCGGGGAAGACTCTGCCCTCTTTGCAGGACTACAGTACCTATTTTGCCCGGCAGGAAGCAGGTCCGGCCGCCCAACCAGTCACATACACAAGACACGTACCCCTCCCTGGCCACCGGCCGCTCCCCCTCGATTGATCGCTCCCGTGGCAGGGGAGGAAGAGGAGGAGGAGAGGACAAGAAGGAGGAAGGAGAAAAGAAAGAGAAAGAGGAGGAGGAGGAGGAGAGGAGGAGGAGGAGAAGCAGGAGGAAGAAGAGGAGAAAGAAGAAGAGGAGGAGGAGGAGGGTTGGAAAAGGAGGAGAAGGAAGGAAGGAGGAGGAGAAAGAAGAAGAGGAGGAGGAAGAGGGTAGTAAGAGAGGAGGAGGAAGGTAGGAAGAGAAAGAAGAGGAGGAGGAAGAGGAGGAGGAGAGAAGGAGGACAAGAAGGAGGAAAGGAGAAAGAAGAGGAGGGGAGGAAGAGGAGGAAGAGAAGCAGGAGGAAGGAGAAAGAAGAAGAAGAATAGTAGTAGAGGTAGAAAGGAGGAGGAGGAGAAGAAGAAGGAGGAGGAGGAAGAGTAGTAAGAGAAGGAGGAAGAGGAAGAGGAGGAGGAGGAAGAGGAGGAAGGAGGAAAAGGAGAAAGAACAGAAAGAGGAGGAGGAGGAGAGGAGGAGGAAGAAGAGGAGAAAGAAAAAGAAGTAGAGGAGGGTAGGAAAAGGAGGAGGGGGAAGGAGGAGAAAGAAGAGGAGGAGAGAAGAAAGAGAAAGGAGGAGGAGGAGGAGGAAGGAAGAGAAGAAGGAAGAAGAAGAGGAGGAGGAGAGAAGGAGGAGGAAGGGTCAGCCTGGCCGGCCCGCCCGCCACTTGTTGCCGAGAGGAGGCGGGGGTCTCGGGCGAGGGCGGGCCGGGGAAAAGCCGCCCCCCGGCCGCCCAGCTCGCCCACAAGGCTGCGAGGCGGAAGGGCCAGGCGCGCTCGGAGCCACCTCCAGCCGGGGCGCTGCGCTCCACCTCCCCCGCCGGGACCCCGGGCGTGGCCGGCTGCGGGGGAGCCCGCCCGCCCGCCCGCCAGCCCACCCTCCGCGGCATGGGCGAGGACCCCAGCCTGGCCGCCAAGGCCGCCCTGGTAAGCCGCCCTGGGCGCCGGGGGCAGCGGGGCGAGGGGCGCGAAGACCCCCGCGGGCCACTTCGGGGCTGGGCTGGGCAGGGCAGGGGGGCAGCTGCGGCGCCTCCCGCCGGGCGTTTTGGGTGGGGGTCCCTGAGCGTCTCTCTCTCTCTCTCTCTCCCTGCAGGCTGCCAGCGCTTTCTCGCCCTCGGCGGGGTCCTGCTCGGGGGTCCGCGGCGCCGGGGCGCTCCGGCTGGAAGCGGTGATGGAGAACCTGCAACGGGCGCAGGCGGCGCGGCTGGAGGAGAAGCTCCGGCGGGCGCAGGGGGCTCAACCCGGCGGCCCCCCGGCGGCCCCGCTGCGCCCCTTCTGCGGGGGGCTGCCCACGGCCCGCGGCCCGCCGCCCACCCGCCGCCAGAAGGAGGAGGAGGAGGAGGAGGACGGGCTGGACCAGGAGGAAGAGGAGGAGGAGGAGGAAGAAGAGGAGGAGGAAGAGGAGGAAGGAGCCGTCGGGTCCCGGCCCCGCCACGCGCAACGCCCGGTCGCCCACGCCGGCTTGACTTCTCCGCCTCCCCCGCCGCCTCCCCCGCCGCCCCACGAGTGGACCTACGAGGAGCAGTTCAAGCAGGTCAGCCCAAGCCGCGATCCCGCGTGGGTCTCCGTCGCGCGTGGGACTCGGGGCGGTCGTGGGGGGGGGGCTCTCCGGGCTGGCCAACGCGCTTTCTTCTCGCGTGTCTCTTTTGCAAAGTTTGGCCCCGGCGCTTGCGTCCTCTCTCCCTCCCTCGCCCCATGGCCCCTCCCTTCTCCCACGCGTGGAAAGTCGCGGCGTGGAATCCTGGCCTTTTTCTTAACTCGCCCAACTTCGGGAAGGCATGCCGCGAAGTGGGAATAGGACGGCGCTTCGGGAGCGTCGGGGATAATGCGTGGGTGGGTTCCCCACGGAGACACGCGGGGATGTTCAAGTGAACCTAAACTTGGTCCGTGTAAAAAAAATTGCATCCCCCCCCCTTGGAATTTACCTTCCCCTTTCTTGGATCGCCTTCATTATTCAGATTATTTTGGGCTTGGAAACGTCTCTCAGGTTTAGTGCCGGCTTTCAAAAGCCAAGAAGAATAATTTAAGGAGTTTGAAGAATTCATTGTTTCTAAGCTATTATATTTTGGGGATTTGTGTTTTGTGTAAGTCCCCCCCCCCGTGGGTCTCCTTGAATTCACAGGGATTTTAGAGGCAGACTTTCTAATTTTTCACTTTGCAGAATTTTTTATTGATGTTGCGTTGAATTAAGCTTGTCATCCTTTCATACACATACATACATTTTATCAGTCCAGTAACATACAAGGGAATTTCTCCCGGAGTTTTAAAATCCCTGGCACAGCAATCTTACGAGGTAGGCTGGGGTGAGAAAGGGTACCATCCAGTGATCTTCCTGAATGCCTCAGAAGAGAGCACTTCTGCTAAATTAATGCCTTTTTGCAGTATTCATTCGTCCCTGCCTTACAGTTATTCTCAGCGGGTGTGGGATTTTGGTTTGCTCTCTCTGCTTAGGGGGCTGCAAAAGAGGGGGCAGCCCCCTATGCTGTGACCAGCTGCTTTCCATCTGCTATTTCGGGGGTGTTTATGTGAGGGACCGTGTAATCCTTGGACTCTCTTTGCAATGTAAATGCTTGTTTTCAGGATCTCTTTTATAACTTCTCAGCTTTTGACTGACCCTTCAACTAGTTTAATGAGGGTGCAGATCCTGTCTCTGCCTCCCCTCTGTTCCTCCCCCCCCTCTTAATTCTTGGGCTCTTTCTCAATACTAATTTATTTTTAAAGTTACTTGCCTTCTTTATATGTTGTATATTGGGTTTTATGTTTTTAATATAATTTATTGTACACTGCCCAGAGTCCCTTTGTAAGGGAGATTGGTGGTTTTAAAATTAGATGATAGATAGATAGATAGATAGATAGATAGATAGATAGATAGATAGATAGATAGATGCGATAGAGAGAGAAAGAACAAAATAGTATATATGTGTCTATGATAGGTAGGTAGGTAGGTAGGTAGATAGATGATACATAAAGGGTATAGATAGGTTAAATATATAGAGATTGAATAAATAGATGAGAAAAATGAGATATAGATAGATAGAAATAGGATAAATACAGAGAGAAAGAGAAACAGTATAGATAAAAAAATGAGAGAGAGAGAAATAGTATATATATGGTATGTGTACATGTATGTTAGATTCGATTCGATAGATAGATAGATAGATAGATAGATAGATAGATAGATAAATAGATAGAAAGAAATAGATGGGCTAGAGAAAGAACAAAATAGTATATGTGTGTGTGTGTATGATAGACAGACAGACAGACAGATGGATAGATAGATGATACATAAAGGATAAATATAGATAGGATAAATATATATAAATAGATGAGAAAGATGAGATAGATAGATAGATAGATAGAAAGAAAGAAAAAATAGGATAAATACAAAGAGAAACAGGATAAATAAAAAGATGTATGTGAGAGAAATAGGATATGATATAGATAGATGGATAGATATATAGGTAGAATTAGAATAGAGAGAGAAATAGGATAGATACAGAGAGAAAGAGACATAGGATAGAAAAATAGATGAGAGAGAGAGAGAGAGAGAAAGAAAGAAAGAAAGAAAGAAAGAAAGAATAGTTTTTCCTTATAAGGTATTTGTTATCCCAATTCTCCATCCCGTTCCTGATTCCTTCTTGTCCATTCTTCTTCTTCTTCCAAACATGATCATTTGAGCGGCTCCAAAAACTTGTCCCCAAGGACAATTTGAGTAAGTTAGAATTCAGTTCTTATCAAGTGGTGGGGTAGAAAGCTGAAAAGTGACAGCCCACCCCTGCGGTCCATGGTTCTTTCTCCGCCCCCCCCCCACCTCCTGCTTGGGTCCAGAGCTGCCTTTTTTTCAGGGGCGGGGGAGGGGAGCACTTCCTGGCAGGGAAGCTTGCTTTTTGGCAGAAGGTGGTGGGAGCGGAAGCTAATTTGGAAACAACATCTGGGACCCCTGTTCCCTACCCCCTCCTTTGCAGGTGCCCCCCTCCCATAGGGAAGCTGGATTATCTCTGTTATATGAGTTTAGTTTGGCCTTCAAAGCTACCAGTTTATGTTTAACATTTTGATTTGATGTGTCTGTGTATGTTTGAGAGAGAGAGAGAGAGAGATTTTTCAAACAACACAACTTCTCATGTCTATCTGTCATCTTAAGATGCCCTTGACATGCCAGAAGTTATTATTTTTAAAATGTGTATTTATTTTTTATTAAATTTATTTTAATACATTTATTAATCGGTATTAAAGGTTTAAATATTAAAGGTTTAATCGACCTTTAATTTATTAATTGCTTTGAAATTAGTTACTTTAATAAATATATTCATCCAACATCAAGTCTTCTAACATCATCCTGAGATGGCCCTTACGTGCCAGAAGTTATTATTTTTAAAATTTGTATTTATTTTTTATTACATTTATTTCTTTAATAAATTAGTTTATTTTATTAAAGTTGCTTTGAACTTAGTCATTTTTAGTAAATATGTGCACCCATCATCAAGGCTTATCATCTTGAGGTGCCCTTTACATGCCAGACTTTATTCTTTATTAAATTTATATTTATATGTTTGTTTAATTTATTTTTAAGAAGTTAGTTTAATAAAATCTTAATTCATTAAAGTTGCTTTGAACTTAAGTCATTTTAATAAATATGTTCACCCATCCCTCTTGAGCATATATACTACTGAGAACTGATTCTTTTTCCTTTCCCAAAAACATTTGGTGAACATTTGCTGGATTCCGAGTTTTCACTCTTCCCTCTTCAAATTCTCCTCGTAGTCCTGCGTCCCATTTTATATGGAACTGGGTGGTTGGAGGAAAGGCAGGTTTGGGGTGGGTGGGTGTCTATCCATCTCGTGTCCTGGCCTTATCGGATAAGTCCATTTTCTGCATTTCTACAGAAATTGTACTTTAAGCCAACCTTTGAGTACAGCAACCACATGCCTGCACACCAGTTAATTAAGGTTTGCGCAAACCACTCGGGGCAACTCAGGGAAACCTCGCCGTTCAGCCTTTAGTGACCTGATTGTGATTTTTGCACGGATTTAATTTCTCTGTCGTTAAGACGACAGCGTCCGAGTTGTCAGAGGCCAGAAGGGTAAACGAAAAAGAGGGAATCAGGTTGCTCCGAAATTTCTTCCCTATCCTTTTCTGAATTCAAAATAGAATGCTTAATGGTAATTTTATGGTTCTTTTTTTTTGGTAAAGACCACAATAGTTATTCAACCTCACCCAATTTTCCTGGACTTGGTTATTATTTATCCATCACTTTCATATATATCCACCATTTGTGGTTTCACATCGCCTCCCTGGTTCCTTTTCAGCAGCATCTCTCGGGGTTAAGAGAGACCGGGTGGGGGGTGGGGTGGGGTGGGCAAAGATTGCCAGTGTGTTTCATGGCTGTTTTATGGCTTAAACCTGGGTCATTCTTGATCCTTCTTTGGACTCAAGATCCTAGATCTGTTTTGACAAAACCAGAAGAGTTCCCTGCTGTTCTGGGTTGGTGATGAAAGAGAACAATTTTCGGAAGTAGAAAAATTTTGATGGACAGGTGTCAGAAGTGATCACAGAATGGAAACAGGCTAATATATTATGCATATGTATGCATGTATATTACAGGGAGAGAGAGGGAAAAAAAAGAGAGAGAAAGAATCAGAGATAAAGATATGAAGGGGAAAAAAAGAAGAAAATGTGATTTTCTCCCCCAATACTGTTCCATTTCCCCCCCCAAGAAGAAAAATGGACTATTACAAAATATTTCCTTTTTAAAATATTTATTTATTTATTTATTCGGTTTCTACAACCGTCCATCTCAATCAATGACTCTGGGAGGTTTATCATTTGAAAAATATATGACAGTAAAAAGACTTCTTCATTTCATTCTAAAAAAGATTTTGGAAAGAATAACAAACTTCCCAGATAAATATACCTAGCAGCCGAGATACTAACGATATCTAAAATGGTGTTAAAAGTCAGAAATTGTAGGAAGTGTTTTATGAAATTAAAAAAAAAAACAAGCATAAGAAAAATGAGGAAATGCTCGTTTCATCCGAGAGGACTTTCTATTTTTAGAAATTTATTCTCCTCGTAAATTTCTGAAATAACTGCAAATAGGGACACAAATCTTGATCCAGTGGTATTTCATTGGGCAAAACGTGAGTTTTCTCTTGTTGATTTTTCTCTGGAAATCTGTTCTCGATCGCTTTCTCGAGGAAAAAAAAATCCAGAACTTGCTGCTCTCATTTCCAGATTTAATTTTCCTTGCCAGCTTCACCTGAAGTGCCGACTATAAAGAAAACCTTGATTTTCTTGTACTCAGAAACTCGAAGCGCCATTCCTGGGAACCTTTGGAAACAAGATTTTCCAGAAAATTTAACAAATAAATAGAAAGCTAAAGAAAATAGATTACCCCAATGTCAGTGTCATGGACACAAAACCTACTGATTTTACAGATTTTGCATTTTTATAAAGCGATGAAGTGAGACTATGCCTGCAAAGCGGCTTAAAGAATTAAGATATATTCATTTAAGGAATAGGCCATCCCAATTGGGT